GCATTTTTGCTTCCAGTACCAAAAGGTACCTTTAAAATGCTATTTGGGTATGTCAATGAAAAATTCTACTTCTCAAATACATTCTCCGATTCTGCTTTGGATGGTTGCTTTAAGGATTACAACTGTTATTTTTGATGACTATAGAAATAGTAGATATTGTGCACAGTGTTTTGTTCCTCTGTCCTACGGGTCAGGTGTTCTTTACCAATGCTCTGCTAGAGCAACACACAAAATCATCTTGTCCTGAGCTCCAAAATATGTTAATGTTAAGAGATGTAGTTGTTTTCCCCTTAAATACAACTGAAACAGATTCCTGTGGTGAATTTATTTGTCTGTTAAATGTGGACCTCTTGTTCTATATATTCATAATTTTCTGTTGAGTAGATAGTTGACTAACTTATAAGCAAGACAAAAATTTGTATACCTTTTTAGTTAAGTCAAGTCTTAATTGACTTTATTAGTTTTAAACCAACAACCTCAAAGTTCCAGTGCCTTAAGGCAATACAAGTATTTCTTGCTTAAGCAATGTTTCATCCAGGGGCTATGCTATCACCTAAGGCTTTGTAGTGTTCCCTGAATCTGATCCATCCAGCTGGCAGAGAATGAATGCAGACAGCATGGAAGATCATGTGAGATATTTTAGGAACCAGGCCTAGAAAGGATAGACTTCATTTCTGTGTACATTCGACTGGTCAGAACTCCTATACTGCACTACCTAGAGGCTGGGGCTGCAGCTGGGGCTGCTGGGAAATACAGGAAGACATCCTGGAGGAAAAAATGGAATAGAAGAGTATCCAGTGAGAGTCAGACAGAGCTTGATAGCCCAATAATCATTCTCCATCAAATAAAAGCAGGATGTGTTTATAGACTTAACATGGCTGAAAATGAAGAATGACATACATTTCTCAAACCATTAAATCTCAGTATCAAATTATAAGTAAATACCTATAATATATTTATCTTTAAATAAATGTTTTCATTGTATTCATGCTTTTATTTTTCTATTTCTAATACAGTGTAAATGTTCAAAATCACAAAAGAGAACTCGTTTGAAACTTGTTAAGAAAATGGTAGTTTGGTTAAATAGTTATCAGTTTGAAAGAAAAAACTACCTTAAAATATTTAGGGTGATAGATGAAGAAACCTTATCTAGATTAAAGATCAAGAGGGATTTTGTAGCTGGTTGTTTCAAGAAAGCAATACCAGGCACATGAAAATACTTAGAATGTGGTGATGGGTAGTAATATTGATAGTAATATTCCAAGTAACTAGTTGGCATATTACTTAGAACCTTTATTCATCAAGGCTGAGATATTTTGTATGTCATCTCTTGCCATAGAGAAAAGTCAGGAATTGCAGAAATTGTACTACTCTTTGGTCTTCCCCTTAAAAGTGGAAAAGCAATTCCAGGCCTACTGCCTACTGGATAGAAATGTTACTTACTTACTACCTACCTACCATGGCCACTGTTGCAAGGAGACCTCATACACTTACATGGTTTGTTGGAAATAACGTCCATGTCTTCTCTGAATAATTAGTTTTTAATCTTTGAATAAAACATATTTGGCACATTTAAAA